ACGTACCTGCATTTTCCTTGTGATGGGACGTGGCAAGAACCACCATGCCGTTTCCAAACAAATTATTTTCATTTCCTCGTTCGCACGGTTTTCGCAATCTGATTTACTGCTGACCTCGTCAGATGGAACAGTTGCTTCTTGCAAGGACGTAGAAAGAATCCTTCTTTACTGTTTCTCACGCCTAGTCATCCACTTTCTCCTGTCAGGTTTAATTGAAGTGTTTGTGCACGTGCGATGCATTCCACATCAGTAATTCGACAAGATGTTTCTGAGCAAGTGTGTCACTCATACCGTTGTCCGACAAGGTGGTATGAGCCCTTCGGGGAAAGCCTTTTCTAGTCTAAAAATTGGCGGTAAAACGATGTCTGAATTTACACTTTTGAATTAGTAATTCGTCTAAGTAGAGTGAACTGCTGGCCATTTTTTCATTGTTTCACACGTCGGTCGAGTGATTGTTGAAACTGCTGGCTGCTGTGCCTGGCACCGCCTTTCTTTTCTACCGTTATGCATAGCTGGAAGCCACGACAACACTCCCCTTTCCAACTTTGCCCAAGAGAGTACGGAGCTCGACAGTTTGCAACATGACATGGAACCATGTGGAGGCTTCAGGACATGCTTTTCAGGTGTGGCCACTTCTTTTTGGTTTCTCGGTGAGGTTGAAATTGTGCACGTAATTCAGGGGTTGAACACGGAAGCTGTCCAGAGGGTTGTGAAATGAATGCCGAGGGCCTTTGAGCCTTATCACGAATTTTGCATGCGTTGTGGATGCATCATGTCATTAACTAGTTCCCCTTGGGTCCCTATTTCATGTGTTCTTGCGTTCTCCTCTCTCCAGGTAGGTTTGGCCCGTTGCGTGCTGAGGTTGTTGTAGGTTTTCGCCGTGTCAGGTTAGTTCAGGCGCTTCTGTCCTCCCCCTCCTCCGCTGGTCTTGTTCCGTTTTCCGCCGACCTCCGCTTTTCTTTTCCCTTGCCTTTCCAGGGTTGCCCGTTCTGGGCTAGGTTTCATGTGTTGGTGTTTGCTCTTTCCCTCTTCTTTTGCGTTCCCCTCTTTGCGTCCTGGTTAAGTAACTTTCATCTCATTGTAATTTTCACCTCATCTTCATTTCCCTTCCTCTTCATTTTCATCTCATTGTCGGGACCTTAATGTCCCACCCTCCTGCGGGAGGGTGTGTGTGTGAACCATCTGTAAAGATGTAAAACTTCTATCCGTTGTTTCGGTGCACTACTTGTTTGATTTGACTTTTCATGTTTTTTTCCCTATTTCAATTTTCACGCAGGGGGCCAGGAACCCATCACTGTCTGTCCTGGCCAACGAAGACCGGACAGTATGGGGGTGAAAACGTACCTGCATTTTCCTTGTGATGGGACGTGGCTAACCCAAGAACCACCATGCCGTTTCCAAACAAATTATTTTCATTTCCTCGTTTGCACGGTTTTCGCAATCTGATTTACTGCTGACCTCGTCAGATGGAACAGTTGCTTCTTGCAAGGACGTAGAAAGAATCCTTCTTTACTGTTTCTCACGCCTAGTCATCCACTTTCTCCTGTCAGGTTTAATTGAAGTGTTTGTGCACGTGCGATGCATTCCACATCAGTAATTCGACAAGATGTTTCTGAGCAAGTGTGTGAGGGAGGGTGGCTGATTACAAACCCACAAACAACCCCAGGTCTTGAGACATTGCCCTATGTCCAGCTGGACTGAATCAGCACCAAGTTCATGCTGACAGGAGACATAGTATAAATAGATAGTGGCCAGCAGCATCGCTACAGGAACACTGCCAGGGTCAAATGGCACGGGTGCAACTTGCTGAAAAACTGACACAACCTTCCGCGCAGTGCTCAAAACTGTCCCGCCTGGTCCAATAGAATTTTAACGGCATGGCGGAACAGCCACAGGTGCCGCAGGAAGTTGTGATGGGATTTGACAAGCTGCTGGTGGATTCCGTAAGTCCACCCCAATTGGAATAACTGATCTTGGTGCCGCCCATGCGCGAGGTTTGTGGGCCTGTGGGTCTATCCCGCAAGGTGTATCGAAATCAGAATCCAGCTGACCAGCATGCCACATTTGAACCATCTGAACCAAACTGCCAACTCACTCAGCTAGTACTAGGTACCTCAAAAACAGCAAATCTGACAAATACCCACCCCCAATCATGCAACCACAAACTGCCCCATCAGCACGACAAACAAAACAGGAACACTTTTGAAATGCTTCGCTCTATCGATCTCTTTGCGCCCGGCACATCTTTGGGCCTCCACTGAAGAGCCTCCATAGTAGTCATACAAATCCCCTCTATCTCTTCATTTATCCATGGTTCCTAGCTGATTCTTTGACACTATGACTATGATTTAATGGAAGCCTCTCTCATGAATTCCGAAATCTCATCAGTGACAGTGTGGTTCCATGGCTCTATATACATTGGCCATTGACAGCTCTAGTTCTTTGGGGCTCTAAAAGCAGGCCACTTCTTATGAGGTGATGTGCCATGGCTACGATTCCGTATTTCTGCCCGATGTGAAGCCAAGTGCTCCTTCATCGGGCTCCATGTCCAGAAGTTCAAGGTCAAAATGCATCTCAAACCCTCTGGAAATGGGAGGCCACGCGTAGACAAATGGCAAATACATGGAAACAAATAGCAAGGCAAGCTGTTTCATTCCGTTTCAATATGGTGTCGCGAAACTTTCCGGGGTAGGCCTTTAGAAAAGTTATCAAGACTGTTGAGGGCCGTAGCCTCAGGGAGAGCTGGGCAAAACGCCACGTGAAGGCCTTGACACATCACAAAACACGAATCTCAAGCATTGATTGATTCATATATGATTCATATATGATTCATATCATTCACACGTAAAGCAGCCAGATCAGATCTTTCCAAAGGTGCATGAACCAGGGTGATACGAACATTGTGGTCATTGTGCAAAACGGTAAGTCTCCGGCTCGCTGCTTTCACCTGTGCCAGCCGCCTGGGCTCAGGAGAGCGTCCAAACAATGTAACAATCATCGAACTTCGGCCGAGACATCACAAAGCTGCACCCTTATGCACCGTGTCGGTTGGCGAGATGCAGATTCTAAAGCTGGTCCGGAATTGGAGGATTCGATCTTCTGTTGAATGGCTCGCGGTTTCAGTCCTCACGGATGGCATGCTCTACAACCCAAGAACTACGAAATGCAGCAGGCCATGTCCTGCTGTGGTAAGCGTCATGATTGGCCGCTCAATCAAGCACCATAAAGCAATAGCAGATGCGTATGCCGTCAAGCAGTTTCCTTGCAGCACCATCAATGCTTGACATTGACATCGAATGGCTATTGTGGAACCAAAAAGTCGTGCAATTTTTTAGATGCGACAGACTTTGCTGCAAGCAAGCATCCAATGAAACGGTAGCAGACTTCCTCAGCTCATGAGAATTGTGCAGGGAAATGCCAAAGGTGGGGGAAATCGTTGAATGCTTCTGTTAAACTGGTGTACGTCAGAGCTGATGGCTAATCAGGCCATGACAGGCCTTGCAACCTACCCAACGCTCTTCGCTTGGAACTAAGAACTTGAATATCTCAAAAGGCTTCAAGATTTCACAGCCAAGACGTGAGCCAAGAGACTGCCCATGACCTGTGTCGTCCTATGGCTGATTTTGTCATTCCCTACAAGACTGAGGCTGCAACCATCCCGCTGAAAGTATAGTACTGCACTGATGTCCCGGCTGCCAACTTGATGACCTCACATTCAAATCGCGACCCCACATCCTAGGGCCCTAGGAATCCCTAGGGTCCCTGCCAGGGGATGGAGCAGGTATGCACCATAGGTCAATCGGACAAATGGCGTCCATCCGGGATGCGACAGGAAAGCATTGGTCAAGGGCAAATAGCCTTAGGTCGAAGCACCCAGGGGAACATGCTACGTGGTGAATGTACCATGCAGCACCTGTCTGACACTTCCCCAAAATGGCTTGGTTTGACCCGAGCAGCCATAGTAGCACAGGACCGTTATCACAGCCCACGCCAAAGCCCATGCAACCCGGCCAACGTCCAGAAGAAGGATACTTTCAAAGTCGTTCCAGCCTCAGTAAGGGCCATAGAAATGAGTTGAAAAAGGCAATTAATTTCGCAGTCAAACTGACTCCGCAATTCACCAAGTCGCTGTTCTTCCTCTTGCCGAAGTCTGTTGCTGGAATGAAAACGACCAAGCACAGTATGGCAACAGCAGCGACCGCTGCCTTGAGTGCAAAGACCCAAATTCACGACTTAGATGGGAGATGGTCGTCCGCAGCAAGCAGTAGTGTCACGAATGAGACCAACCAGTTCATAATTCAATGCAACTCTCCCCGTGTCGGTGGAAAACACCCCAACGTCCAGGAGTCCAGCCAATCTCTCTGCCCCAAATGCAATGTGAATCTGGCTGCTCTTCGATTCTGTCTGGCTCAATGCTGCCCCACAAACAGCCCCATAATAAACACCTACTTCTTTTTAAGATTTTCTGCGCCACTGCTCAGTAGCATTTCAGCGCTAGAAAGCCAAGCTCGTTCAATCGTCTGTCCGGCATGTTCCACATGTTTCACATGTTCCACATGTTCCACCTGCACAGCTCATAAATGTTCACTTCCAAGAGGCACTAGTTGCAAGCAACTGCCGCCGCTCACAAGGCTGAGTCTCTCTGGTGACTCCCTTGTTTTCCAACATCTGAAGGAACCAGGCTGTTGAACTCAGCCGAACAGGGCCACGGATGCATTTCGATGGAAGCTCTTACTCTTGTACTCTCGTCCGACTGGTTTTCCATTTGGGGGATCTTGCTAGCACTTGCTCGCACCAAATCACAGCTGTGACAAGCAAACGTGAATGCACCAGGATTTCTGTCTGATGACACCTAAGACTCGAGGACAAGCCACATGCCAACAAAGTAGGCTGGAGCACGCGTGTAGGGCTTGCTGTAAGCATAGTATGAGTACCTCAGCCGCGATGTAGCCCGGCATAGCTCGGCAGTTGTCGGATCAGCATGACAGCTCCACTGGCTCCCACACGTTTCAAGCTTCTTCAACAGGGGTTGGTAACTGTCCCATTTTGGGAATATTGGACATCACCTGGAAAAGTAGCCATTATAGACCATATACCAAATGGTTGGGTGATGTTCAATGGGGACATTTAATGACCCATCTTCAACCTCCACAAAGATTCAAAGACAAGCTGCTGGGTGTAGTGACTGTCAAACACGTAAGGCGAAAGATGATATCGCGCAATGAGCCATGCAGTGGCTCCCATGGATAGCCCAATCAAGCACCTGAAAGCCGGTGAGGTGCAGACTCCACTGATACTGAGGAAAACAAATAAAATGAATTTCTTTCATCTTCACTCCGAGGCATTTGTTTGTTGTGTGTTTGCGCCAAACTTCACACAACACACCAGATTTGCAGCCGAAAAACACTAGCAACAACCAGCCCAGTTTCTTCCTCCTGTGGTAGATGGGTACAACGGCCTGGAATCCAAGAAGACTGCAGTCACTGGCAGTGCCGGAAAGCGAACTCCAGGTTTCTCTTCAAGATCAAGCTAGCGATGGCTAGCCATAACTGTTGCTTCCAAGCATCACTTCCGAGCAGAAAGAAGATCATGTCGTCTCCTTCAGATTGCTCCCAAGATCTGCAATAAATTGAACAAGGCGTCAACAATTCACACCTGGATTGCCGCCAAGCTTCCCAAATACCAAGTCCAACCCATGCAAGCTTTGTCGGAGTCAAATGGGATGAAGTTCCTTTGTGCAGCAGCTAGTGACGGTAGTGGGAATGCTGCGAACTTTGGAAAGAATTGCCGTTTCATTGCCAATTAATTCGAAGAGTCATCGTATAAGTCAGCTCTGACCACCAGGACCTTGACTCCAAGCAAGTTGTGAGACAAGAATAGCCACAGAACTCAACAGGTGATGTAGTAAACCCAAGAATTTTCACCCCAAAATTTTGATGGGTGGGTCTTATATCAACATTAGGGACATGGATTGTTTATCATTGGGTGTACTGCATTAAACCCGCTTGATCCTTCATGAGGACTGCGTCTGCTCAAATTTTACTGAGGCCTAAACCCATCACAGCGCCGGAAAATGGAATCTTGTAACGTGGCTGCAAAGGGACCAAAGGCCAAATAAGGCAGGATTCCATAGTACACCAACCTGGTTGATGCCGTGCTGCAACATCCAAACACGATCATTTCATGCATTCAAGCACATGCTGCAAATGCTGCATATGCTGCATATGCTGCATATGCTTGCCGCCCAAGGCACATGGCTAGGGCCAAGCTCGGCGTTAGGCGAAAGTACCTGCTCATCGTGAATGTTTGATCCCCTGTGTGCTGAGATGCGCTGAGCTTCTTTACTGAAGCATAAAAGTTATATAATAAGACTTTTACTGAAATGCTGCAATCAAGGTACCGGAGCAAAATGGCAAGCAATGGATGAGCTCCTCGATGCTGAAGCTCTTTCAGCATCAAGTGAGAGAGTAGGAATCCGGACCTTGGTCCATGTCCACTTGACTCAGGAGCTTCTCAGAATGCCACCCAGTGTGGGATCTAAGGCAGTGACAAAAAAAAGAACGTGTCCACACCTTGGCCATCAAAACATCTCATTTTTGCACTAAAGGTTAAGTGGTCGAAGCTGAGTCTCATACTTTGCTCGGCTTGGATGATTATCATCAACAATGGATTGCTCTCAGCTGAAGCTGTATTCAATGGACCTAATCGAAGCAGCACTGAGCAGCCCAAAGCCTGATATGTAGACATGTCATGACATGTTTTTCATGAGGCGGCGTGCAAAAATCTCAGGTTCCAGCTACTTGTGATGTCTTGTGGGTTCAAGTATCCTGATACACCTGAAACTTTGTAGCAGCTGGGATCAGCTGCGGTCCTTTCCCTCAAACACCAAACGAATTTTGACGCTTGACTCGCTTGACTCTCTTGACTCACCAGGCACCTTCGGGCATCAGGAAGGAATGGCCAAGAATGATCCAGGCCATGGCAAGAACCCTCAAGCCATTAAGGCAATCAGTTGGCTTCGACCTGGGGCAATGGAAGGCTCCAACAAAGATACAAAGGGGAGAGTTCTAGGGTGCTGACGGTGGCAATTCGACGAGTTTTGTCAAGGTACCACTGCGGCCAATAAGGGAAAAGGCCTGGACCGAAGGAGAATGACTAAGATTTGCACAAGACCTCACGGTTTTTTCCTGGGTTTCTTTGCAATTGAAGCATGACCACACCCATGCCTGAGTAAGAGTGGAGTTTCTTGCAAGCCTTGAGTTCGGCGAATCCTGCAATCTTGCAACTCATTGCTCTCAGAGTTCGGTGACAAACAGAATTTCAACAAAGCTGTCCTGAGATCGGTTGGTCACCCATGCATATGCTGTAGATACAGCAATCATGAGCACCAAAATCATCACAATTGCCACCGCGAATCCGAATCGAATACCAGGCGCTGCCAATCCCTTCACTGGATCTGACACGTGCACATTGGAAATCGTCAGAACGCGTAAATCCGGAATCAGCGCGGAGGAATTCAGGATAGCTGGCACGTCATTTTGTCCACATGCCTGGCAAACGAAAATGATGTAATGTGACATGATGCAATGTGGCAAGGAAAATGATGTAATGATGTAAAACAATGCCATAAACAATCCCCCAAATCACCATAAATAGGTGGTATAAACCATTCCCAAATGGGTGGTTTACTATTGTTTTACCTACATTACAGGGAATTTGGTACATAACATACAGCACCAACAAGTCTACAGTCTGCAAATGTCCAACTTCTACCAGGGACATGAATTTACCTGAACCGTTGGAGCCCAATGGCATCATTTTCACCTACAAAGCACACAGACACACATAGACAGATAGATAGATAGATAGATAGATAGATAAATAGATAGATAGATAGGTAGATAGATAGATAGATAGAGATAGATAGATAGATAGATCGATCGATAGATAGATAGATGGATAGATAGATAGATAGATAGATAGAAAAGAATAGATAGAAAAGAATAGAATAGAATAGAATAGAAAAGAATAGAAAAGAATAGAATAGAATAGAACAGAACAGAATAGAATAGAATAGATTAGATTAGATAGTTAGATTAGATTAGATTAGATTGTATTAGACTAGACTAGATTAGATTAGATTAGATTGACAGATAGATAGATAGAAAGATAGTTAGACAGATAGATAGATAGGTAGATAGATAGATAGATAGAAAGGTAGATAGATATATGTATATAAATGCATTTGCAGTATATAATGCCTATATGTACTCTATATCTAGATGTACATATAATTTACAAGGTACATTATATGCATAATAAGTTGATAGATAGATAGATAGATAGATAGATAGATAGATAGATAGATAGATAGATAGATATATGTATATAAATGCATGTGCAGTATATAATGCCTATATGTACTCTATATCTAGATGTAGATATAATTTACAAGGTACATTATATGCATAATAAGTAAAGATTATATATAAACATATAATGCATGCGTATGTATGTATATATATATTTATTGATTGTGGATACATGTATACATACATATGGACACATGTTTGTTCAATAATTTAAAAAGATATTGAATTAAATAAGATTATTTCATATTGAATTGTAGTATATTATTTCATTTTAAATTAAATAATTTTATGTAGTACAATATTCAATTATAGTTTTTGACATTATATTATATTGTATTACATTGAAAAAACAACATTATATTATATTGTGTTGTATTAAATTATATTGTGTTAAATATTGTATCTTATATTAAATTATATAATATTATATTATACGATATTATACTATATTGCAATTTAAATTATATTATGTTATATTATATTTTGTTATATCATATCATATTTTTTATATTGTTTTATTTCATATTTTTGACATTATTTTATCTTGCATTACATTGTACTATGTTACATATATTTTTTGTTACACTGCATTATTTTAAAATATATTGTGTTATGTTATATTCTATTAGTTTATTTTATTTCATGTTATGTTTGCATTATGCATCTGCTGATACAAAAAGTACATACGATATCCCTACAATTCGCTACACAAATACATGTGAATATATATATAAATATATACATACACACATGACATCACATCACATCACATCACATCACAATGCGGTACATAATATAATGCTACATATCTACCATAATGTATGCACAGGCTGCATGGACATCATATGTGTACACTATAATATTAAATGTATATATACCGTAGAAATAAATAAATAAATATATATATATATACATATGTGACATATGTCCATGTGTGTGTGTGTGTGTCCTTCGGCAACCACATTTCCGCGTGCCTCTGGCACGCACAACCCCAAGCCCAGTTTAAGAGCAGTTTGTGGAGCCATCGGCATTGCCCCCATCATCGTGGCGAGAAGATAATGAGCACCAGAAATTCCGTTGCAGGTAACGAATTTGCCTGAAGGGCCCCAAACCAGAAGTCTCAAGAGTTCTGGACATAAGATGTAGTCCGTACATTTACAGATGAGTTTCCTAGGCAAAATTCCATTTTAAAAAATTTTCCAACCAGCCATATGTTTGATTGCCGGAGGTTAAACTGGTGAACAGTTTTACTTTTTTTCTTTGCACCGAATCTCCCATGGCCCACTGGCAGCCTGCATCTCTTGGCAAGGATTTCCCAGTGGACAACGACATTTCTGCTAGTATTGCTGGGGGCAACGAGCGCAAGGAATCCAAACAGCCTTGGTGCATCCAAAAGATTGCAAGATCGTTCAATGACAACGGTTGTAAAGTTTCCAACTGACACCGACAAACCCCTGCAACGGAGAAAAAAAATGTTATCACCACCAGTGCTGCACAGTAGCTTTCCTTGTCTGTCAGTTCGGGGAGGGTCGTCATGGTGGGGTGAAGCAATCACCACCGGCCAACTGCGACTATACCGAAAACATGCACGAATTCTTTGCCTCACACCACAAATCACGCAAACTTGAACCGTCAAATGCAGCAATTGTACTTTTAAACTTCCAATTAGACCTGGGATCTGGAACCTCGAAGGTTGTGTTTTGAAAATCGTGTTTTAAAAATGTGAAGATCGTTTTTGTTGGTAACTTTCGACAAACTGCCCTGCCGATACTGCTGGATGGCGTGCGCAAATGGACACGAACCTCATTGCACTGCCACACCCCACCCCACCCCACCCCAAACATCCATCGCGTGCGGAAGTTGGGAAAGATTGGTGGAAGAATCCTCCTAGTTGCGAAAGTAGCACTGGTCAGTTTGCGAAGTCGATGAACTGCAAGAACAGCTGCGTGACACCACCGGGAAGCAGAATCGGACCAAGTAGTTGCAGAATTCGCAAAAAACTTTTTCTGAATGGGAACCCGGTTTTTTTTTGAAAATTAAACGACGAACCGCTAAAAGCAGAAAACTCGAACCCGGTTCTCCACACAGCACGGCCATGCTTATATACTTGGAAAGTAGCCTCATTTCTAGCCCTAGATATTGTGCATCCTATCATACCAGCATATTCTCTAAACAAATGGACCGTAAATTCAAAAGCTTTTAGCGTGACTTGGGCGTGCGTCATGATCATGTAGCCGCAGTGGCCTGCAAGCCCCAGCCTACACCCGACCACAGCCCACCACACTACCTCCGTCAACCCTTGGAACAACTAGTGTATGAAGCAGGCGCACTTGGGAAAAAATAAAATGAAACCGACAATCAATGTGAAGTGTATTCCTCCTGAGTTGTTAAAACAAAAAAACGGACGACGAGTGAACAAAAATCAGAAACGAAATTAATCCGTTTCAAGCCAAGGCCACTGAAAAGTTTACCTTCCTTGTTGGTAGGAAGAAAAAATCCGTGTTGGAACGAGGGAAGAAAACAAACGTTTTTTGTCCTAGTGTTTGCTGAGCTGCCGAACCCACAAGTCCCATCAGTACAAGAAGCAGTTACAGCTCTTGAGAAAGCATCCCCTACAGCACTGCGATCCCTTTCGATCTCATTTTCCTTTCACCCTTCCCGCCTCTGCCTTGCAAAAGTGAAACTGTTCGTGTCTTATATATTTGAAGCCAAGGGTGCGTTACAAAAACTAGCAGGGAAGGTAGAATCAAGGTCCAATTTCTATGCGTTGACAGGAAACAACCTGAGAATAGGGGAACGAAAGCCAGCATCCCACTTCTAGTCTGAGGCAATCGATAACCCAAGGTTCACCCATTGGCCTCCTGGTACATACTATCTTTTGTGAAACAGCAAGCAAACCTCCAACCATAAATGTCATCACGCTCATGTTGCCATTCTGTTCGGCAGTTTTTCTCTTTGCACCTCTGACCCCGAGAAGCGCATTGTAACCAGATCCCAAACGGTCGAACCATTTATATAATCGCACCGTGGTATCCTGAGTCTACGCATTCACCTCCTTGCCACCAGCAGACTGGCTGGACTCTCTTGTCTACACCTTGTTTAGTAGCAAACAACCTGCAAGCGCAATGTGGCCACGTACAAAGCACCGTCTTGATCAAAGATGTTCCTCCCTTTGCCCCTGACTCTAGCCCCAAAAACGCACTGTACCCACATCACAAACACTGGCGACTCATTATCGCCCCCTACTTTCATTCGTATCTACCAGTAATACCGCACAAGGTGGTAGCGGAAGTGTCAAAGATGAGAAGCCATAGGGAAGGTCAGTTGTTGCGACGCATGCCAGACCGAACCCACTGATGGACCGAAAGGTGATTGGAGCTGTGCGGTCCGTCGCTCGATTGATCTGTCTGTCTGTCAAGTGTCAAGTTTGCCCTTTCTCTTTTTCTTTTTCTTTCTCTTTCTCTTTCTCTTTCTCTTTCTCTTTCTCTTTCTCTTTCTCTTTCTCTGTCTCTCCCTCCCTCCCTCCCTCTCTCTCTCTCTCTCTATCTCTCTCTCTCTCTCTCCCCTCCCTCTCTCTCTCCCTCTCTCTCTCCCTCTCTCTTCTCTCTCCCTCTCTCTTCTCTTGTCTCTCTCTCTCTTCTCTTCTCTCTCTCTCTCTTCTCTTCTCTTCTCTTCTCTTCTCTTCTCTTCTCTCTCTCTCTCTCTCTCTCTCTCTCTCCCTCCCCAGATCAGCGTGGACCGGAATTGCAAGAAGGCTGACGTGCAAAAGTTCATTGGCCAAGGTTGCCAAATCCAGAGAGCAGGTTGTGTTCACCTCCAAGGTCACTGCATCGCAGGAAGGTTGCAAGGTAATCGCATGGCATTGAAGGTTGCTAGAAGCGCAGTCCAAGAAGCGATCTGTGATCGCAAGGGGCGCAAGGCACGTGCAAGAGCCAGCAGCAAATGATACGAAGCCGGAAGTGTAACACTGTAACGGCAAGTCAAAAATCAGCAGCCCGCCACAAACTTTGCATGTGGCAAGCGAAATGGAGCAGAGGTGAAAGCCACAAACAATCCAGTCAACCTTAAAAGCACCAATCTGCTGACGTGAAAGAGCGAGACTGAAACAGCAACCTTCGGATGCCAAGGGCAGAGGGGCATCATGGAATTTAATTGGCACCATGCAGGCAAAAGACCCGCCGATGAGAAAGTCAAAATACGGAAGCAGCTCGCTCAAAGAGGTGCCTTGCAAAAGGCGCGGCTGTGTTGGATGCACCGGTTGACGGACTCCGTTCTTGCGCAAAGCTGGAAATGAAGGCAGATGCTGCGATGGCGAGTGTAGGGAAACAAAGCAGTTGAGGGGCACATCCACGGACAAGCGGTCCAAGAGTTCCGTTGGCAGAGAAGATGCAACAGTTTTGGGCTTGCTTCTGGCACACGACGGGGAATGTTTCCTCTGAATTGAAATCGGTTGGAAAGGCAGCAACTTCACATGTACAATTTGTATGCGTGGGGAAAGGCACGGGAGAACAACCTGGTCTGCAATGGGTATGAAATTTCGCAGCACTGGCATGCTGCGATTCACTGGGTTCACTTTCAGGGTCCAGCAGCGCCGACAAATCAGAAAGCGCTCTGCGGGAAAGACTCCAACTAGCAGGACCAAATCAGAGCAGGCGCGCAAAAGCTGGAATGATGCAGAGAAAGATCTACTGAAAAGACTGGAGGGCTTCGAGAACTGGGACTTGTGTACCAAGTATTTGCACCGCAAAGCCGAGAATAGCAATGGTGCCAAGAAAACAAAGGAGTTTTTCGCTTGCTTAGCGCCGAAATGAAATTCAGGTGAGCAGACGGTGAACAGGGACAAAAATGCGACATTGGAAATGAAACTGCAGCTATCTGACCAAAGTTGGAAGCGCAGACACAATAACGTAGAATTTGATGCCCCCGCCAGAAACAGACTGGACATGGGTGTTATCAGTGATTTTTTTTGAGCGGGCATTCAGAACAAATGAAATCATCGCTCCATAGCCGGAGAGGAAGATAAAGCCAAGTTGCGCCCTTGAAGCAACACAAAATGATACATGCGCTGCATTCTTCGGGCGGCAGGTGGGAAACTACGCGGACATCTCCATCGCCTTGAAACTGAATGAAAGCCCGGTCGATTTCAAATTTAAGCACGGCGATGCCTCGCGGGAACAATGCGCCCATTTGGGACAGCAATGAAAGGTGATGGTTTGACAGCCACGCTGCTCTGGAACAAGCGTTTCGTGGACCTGTCGCGGAAGCAACCGCCAAAATTTCAGCCACGGTGAAGAGATCACCATGGGCGACCATCAGCTTCAAAACTTCGCGCACGACGTCCTGCCAGGAGATGCCAAAATCTGCGCCTGCAGGACTCTGTATCCCCTGTTGCCGCTCAGGACAGCTTGGTTTGTTGCAGCTTTGCGACTTCATTGTGAATGCATGCTCCCATCCTGTCTGCTTAGTTTGGCTGTTTGGTGTGCTGCCAGGACTCTATTGCTGCCATATCTTCCGATGAGGAGGACCAATTCAATGCACCCACCTTCATGTGCTCGTGTCTTCCGTGGGCACTGTCTTCTCTGGCCGCTTGATTTGGAGCATGCTGCCATTTAAACTTGAACGCCTTTGCAGGAGTCTGTAGCGCTTGTCGCCGCCCAAGACGATTTGACTGTCCTTCTGCAATGGATCATCGCCGATGACCGGGGGGACTTTTGCATCTCGTGTTTTCAGCGTTTGCAAATGGTTTGTCCCGTTTCCTCACCTTTTTTCTCGCTTATCCTTCTTGCTGAAACATTTTGCGTTTTCTGCACTCCTTTATTCTTTGCAGCAACTGTTCTCCTTTCCCAGCTGTTGCTCTGCAGGACTCCGACATTCTTCTTCTGGAAGCTGCTTCACCTGTGTCGTCGCTATTCCGCCGTTCTCGTTGCAAGCTTCCTCACAGCGACAGCAATGACAGTTTCCTCCATTCATGTTTTCCGCCGCCCAAAACGAAGCGCACTGAGAGACCTGTGCGGCTGTACTGTCCGCTTCCCGACAATTTCACCGCGCACAACGTGCAAGGGGACGGCCGATGCGAGTACAGGGCAATTGCAAAAGGCTCGAGCACATGAAGGTGGGTGCAGTGAATCCGTCCTCATCCTCGGCGGGAATGGCAGCAACAAAGTCCTGGCCGCAGTCTCAGAAGCTGACAGTCATGGAAGGAAAACAGCAACCACCATTTTTTGTCATAGACCGCAATGTATCACAAACCGTGTGAAAGCATGTTCTTATATTTTCGTGTCAACAAAGGGAATTAACACAAGAAAACCGTTCCAGCCTCAGAACAGTGACTGCATATTGTTTCCGGATGTGCCGGGAGAGAGGGCACACGACAGCAGACCTCGTCAGCCATATCCACCCACGCTGGACGCCCGCTCCAGATCATGAGGTTGGAAGCTATGTACTGCACAACCTGCATATGCATGCGGGATCCAGATTCGGCATTCAAAGTGCTGTCACAAACAGCAGGAAGAGAACCATGTATGAATTGTCCAGAAGGATCATGTAGATGAGCTATTTTTAAACGTGATTTGACTGATGTGACAATCTATGTACTGTCCGGCACAGGGTACCCACCTCGAAAGAGTCG